GAAAGCTCGGCCTTCCGTCCTCGGACAGCGAACCCTTTTCTCCGCTGCGTTTCATGGACGGGGCTAATGCATGCGATTTTTTTAGAGGTGCAGCCGCATTGGCCTCGCTCCTTTGCGCGCAAGCCTCACAGATTTGCGCTCTCTCCTTGTGCCTTGCCCGGGGTCGATCCAGGGCAACTGCGTCTGAGCCCTTCCTTTTGTCGGTGGGGAATACAAGCAGGGCCAGCCAAGGGGCAAACTGCGCAGCACGGAAGGTCTCAGCACGGGGAGGGGAGGGGAGGGGAGGCAGAAGGGCTGGCCACATCCAGCCCCGGGTCAGATCGCGCTCCCGGCGAAAGCCGATGGGAGCGAAGGCCGGGAGAGGAAGGGGCCTCGGCTGACTCTGCCGCGGAGCAAGAGACCGGGCGGCCCTTGGTCGTGGCCTCGCTCCTTGGACCAGGTCCGGAGGCCACCCAGAGGGGGACACGCATCTCCTCACCAGCAGTCAACACCCAGATAAGCCTAGATTAGCACCAAGATTGTCACCAGACATACAATCAGGCAGTAAACAGTACCCTAATCAAGGAACTACCAGCGGAAAAAGAACACAACACAGAACAGAACAAAACAGAGCAAAACCACCCACACTGGCAGGGCAAGCCACTGTACAGAAACAGGGAGCAAACCCTCTCCCTTCTAGCACTGAAGATGTGACCTGGCTGGGTAACGAAACGTCTGCAGGGAAGCCGCCCGAGAGCCCTGAGGACTCCGCGGTTCAGCCCTGAGCTCCACATACTGTGGGGGTGTGGGAGGGCTCTTCGACTATTTTGAAAGGGGTTTTAAAGCCTTTCCAAAGTATTTCTTTCCCGTGGTTTTCTGCTAAGGTCGGGGTGGATGCCTGTTTTTCAAGTCCGCTCTTGAATTCCTGAAGATTTGGTGGCGCAAAGCGCGAGTTCAGAGGCCATTCAGAGCCTGACCCTGGCCCTATTTTCCAGGGCAACGTCTGCAGTGGTCGAATTATGGGGCATCCGATTTCCTTCCACAAAGCCAGCCGTTCTGCCCCCCATCAATGACCTTTGAAAACCAACCATGGCGCATGACTGCTGATTTTTTTCTTTGTTTGTTGGTTGAATTTGTATCCCGCTGCGCTCTCACAGATGCTGCACACAAGATGCTGCATAAGAGCAAAAACAGTAAAGCGCCCAGAGTAAGATTAAAACACAACATGAAGAGAACGTAAAAGAATAGAAGTTTGCAACCACTTACATGGTGACAGTAAAGAAATCAAAAGTCAAAGGGGTGAAAATCCCTGGAAGGATCTCCAGAAAGCTCTCTCGGGGGTCGGGGGGGGGAGCCTGATCTCTGCGGGATGATCTTAATTTTTATCATCAGCGGCAGCATCAAAGGCTCATCAAAGCCTGCATCTCTACAACACGAGTTACACGTGACAGAGCCTCTTTGCACAATCACGCACCCCTCGGAGTTGCAAGTGCCAAACTGGCGGTGACTCGGGTCACGAACCGTGAAGGGCTGCGGGGCAGGGGGGTCTTCTCCAGGCCTCACTTGGCAGCGGGGGGGGCCCATTCAACGCATGATGTGCCTGTGAGTGCATGATTGCCATGCCTGGGGAAGCCAGTCGCGCACACTGGCACTGTGCATTTACCGCCTTGCTTGGCAGAGCCTTTCCCCAAGGTGAGCCCCCCAGCAGAGGCCCCGGCGCCCCCTCCCTTCTCCCTCCAAAGCACCCAGTCGGTCCCGCAGGGAGGGTGCGCTGCCAGAGGGAAGGGCCCCAGAAGCACTTTGGGGCAGGTCCTCTAAGGATGCTCGCAGGGTGGGGGCATTTCTCCCGCTGGAGGGATCCGCAAAGGGAGCCCCCGGGAGCTGCTGCGGCCTTCGCAGGACAGCACCGACTCCTGTTTGGGGCGCGGTTCAGCGTTACAAGCGAGAAGGGGACGGCGCAGTTTTTATCAGGCTTCCTGATTTCTCTCCTGCCTCTCCTTCAGGAGCTCAAGGCAGCTTATATGCAGATCTCCCTTCATTTCACTGCCCCCCCAAAGCGAAGGCCTTGTCTTTGCCTTGCCCTGATTCTCAGTGGTCGAGGTGGGAAGATGCAAACCTGGGGAGAGCAAATGAACTGGGCTGAGCAGGGAAAGACAGACCCCCACAGAGGGATTGGCCCCAAATCACCCATGGTGTTTTTTCCAGTGCTGAGTCTTGAACCCAGGCCTCCCTGGGGCTCTCCTGGCGCCTTGACCAGTCCACCCCCTAGAAAACGAGCGGTGGGGCTGGGAGACGACTTTCTGCGAGATCATCTGAAGGCGCCTCACCCCCCCCACACAGACCCCATCCTCCCCGTGCCAGATGAGGGGAGCAGCCAGATGTGGCCTTGCTGGAGGGGACACCCACCCCTCCTCCTCCTCACTGCCTCCCAGAACATGGACCATAAGACCTATGGTGCCCTGGCAGGTGGCAGTTTCAGTCGAGGCACTTGGGCGGCACCACAGGGGCGTCTTGGTCCTGAAATTCAGAGTGTGGGAAGCCCTCCTTTGGGGGAACACAGCCCAAGGGCTCCCGCACTGCTCTTCCTCAGCCTGGCACCTTTCACGGCTTGGCACTTTTCTCCAGGAGAGCCTCCTGGCCGGGCTGCCGTTAATGTTTACCCCCCACGGAGGCCGATAACATGCCCGCCTTGCAGCCACATCTTTTCCTGCGCCAGAGCAGCAGAGCCTGGCCGGGATCGCTGCTGCATCTCCTGGCGCCCGTCCCTTGCTGGGCGAAGGGGAGGAGGAAATTGCGCGCTTCCTTGCTGGGCCTTTGAAGCGGGCTCGGCCTGAGGTTGGTCCCACCGCCTCCTTCTCCTCTGGAGCGGGCACCGCAAGCAGGCAGAAGGTAGGGGCCACATCTGCAAGCTTGAAGGGTGGGGAGCTCCAAGAATTGGGCCCTCCAGCTGTGTGGGGGATGAAAGGCAGAGTAACCCAACAGCTGGAGGGCTCCGGGTTGGAGTTGTTGCACTGGGAGGGCGCCTGGCAGGGGGAACAAAGGTGGGAGGGAGATGCCACAGAGCAGGTCGGCAAAGCCGGTGGTGGGATTCTTCCCAAGAGGGGTGGTCCTCTAGGGAGGCCGAGGCTGGGAGCCCCTGAATGCGTCCTATTTTTCAACGCTCCGACTACCTTAAACTCTTCCAGTGCGCTTTATCAGCTTTTCCTAAGCAAACGAGCCAACAGTAGGAAGGAAAATGCAGTCAGCTCTCCTGGTCCCGAGACTCAGCAGAGTCCGCCATTGCCTCACGGTGAGGCTGCACGAGAGTCCATCTGGGCTGGCTGGGCGCTTCCCCCCCCTTAGCAACTGGTGCGACGGGCACTGCCCAGCTGCCCTTCCGATCTCTCTGCCTTTGGACGGGCTGAGCCTGGGAGGAGAGGAAGGGGTTCCGTGGTCACCTCAAGGAAGGGGGCTTGGAGGCCCAGGGCTGGCTGGCTGGCTGGCCTCAGTCCCCAGTGGCAGGGAGGGAGAGGCCGCCGGAAGGCCTCTTCCTGGGGAAAGGCCCCCTAGGCTGGCAAAGGGTGTCAGCGCCCGCTCCTCTCATGCCTTCGCTCCTGTTCTTCCACACCAAGGAAGCAGGTGGGCAGGAGTGTCCTTCCTGGAGGGCAGGGTCTCCCCTTTCCAACAGACAGTTGGCCTTGCTGGGGCCGACCGGGTCAGGGCAGCAGTCATGCAAACCTCGGCTGATGCCAGCCTACCAGGTAGGCCAGACTAAGAGACAGACACCGGGTGGGTCTGAAGCTATTTTTATTAGGACAGCTGGAATAACAGAAACTTGCAATTCCAGATGTGCTTCCCTTCCTCCCTCTTTTCTCTTCATGTGAATGGAGGGGTGGGCTGAGGCCGTCTTGGTAAACCAGTTTCTTGGCCAGGACTCAAGCCCTGTTTATCTGTTTGCTGCCTTGGGAGCAGATCTTCCCTCTGTCCTTCAAAGCCATCCTCTTTACTCACCACAGCTAGAGTTAACCCTGGTTAGTTTTTGGGGCTTAGCATGTTCTGTGAACCTGCCCCGTTGGGTTAGCTGATACTCCAGGGCAGTGTTTCTCAACCTTAGCAACTTTCAGATAGGTGGACTTCAGCTCCCAGAATTCTGGCTGGCTGGGGAATTCTGGGAGCTGAAGTC